TAGTGTAGACCTTTTGATCCCTTGTCGGGACTCTTGTTATATTTGTAGACATTATATATGGATCGGGTTGCACGCGCGCAACAATATTATATATATGGATCGGGTTGCACGCCGCAACACTATTATATATATGGATCGGGTTGCACGCCGCAACAATATTATATATGGATCGGGTTGCACGCCGCAACAATATAATGAAATGGGAGCGGGTGGTACGCCTACCACGAGATATAATAAAATGGGAGCGGGTGGTACGCCTACCACGAGATATAATGAAATGGGAGCGGGTGGTACGCCTACCACGAGATATAATAAAATGGGAGCGAGTGGTACGCCTACCACGAGGTATAATAAAATGGGAGCGGGTGGCACGCTTGCCACGAGATACATGAAATGGGATCGGGTTGCACGCCTGCAACGAGATATGTACTGACAGTGAAACCTGCTTTTATTTCCCTTATCCGTGTTAGAGTTAAATTATTGATGTTCTTTATTATTCTCTTGATATTCTGTTTTTACCTGTTATCCCCCGAAACATTTTTCCCCCTCCCATCCTAACTTGCTTATACCTGCTTTACTTTTTGCTGTATTTTATATAACTGCACAGGTTTATTTGATAGTCTGGTCCTAACCTCGTCACTACTTCGCCGAGGTTAGGCTAGGCACTTAGTGCTGATACTAAACTCTGTGCTCTTTTGCATAGATCCAGGTGCCGGACAGCCGTAGTAGCTCGGGAGCCAGCCTTCAGTTCACTGAGACACCGAGGTAGCCTTGCAGGCGTCCGCAGGCCCGGCGTCTTCTCTATTTTTATTTATGATCTGTTATCTCTTATATTCGAGACAGACAGTGTTACTTTCTTTCAAACAGTTGTATGTAGTAAATCTTAGTAGTCCGTGAATGTTGTGACACCAGTTCTAGGTAGAGGCACATGTGGATGTTTTTTTCATTATTATTTGGTTTATATCGTTTAAGTCTTCCGCTAAATTACAAATTCTAATGTTGTTTAATTATTTAATTCATGTTAATCAAATTGGTAGAAATGGATTTTAAACAAAAGCATTTATGGATTCTAGATGTGTGGCTTGCCTAGCTTCTACGAGTAGGCGCCATCACGACCCCCGATAGTGGAAAATCCGGGTCGTGACACAATCTCATATATTTTCTCTTCGCATGACTGAAAGATAAATGTTATGCCTTTGCTCAAGCACAAATAGTCAACATGCACTTCTTTGCCTATAAAACTTGTAACTAAAGTAGATCTATTTTACCTAAATAAGATCGGGAAATGAGTATATTCTCAAATACCCAAAAAACTAATCTAGGAATATCACAAACCAATCACATAAAAAGCAGAACTTTTTATTTATTTATAAAGAAACGTGTGAAATATACTCATTTTCGAGATTGGAAGAGGAAGTTGACCAAGGGCATAATGATCATTTTAATATATTAGTGCATTGTTTGTTTGTATATTAGGCTCAAAAGTTTGGTTGTGGGTTCTTAATAATAGGAAAAACCAAAACTAATGTGCCCATAAGCTATTAAATTCTTTAGGTAAACCCCACTTTCCATTCAACCTTCACTATCTTCATTAAATGCATTACTTGATTGTTATTATTATTTTTTCAATAAGTACTTTTAACTAGAAAAAATATTTTTTTTGATAATTCTATAATTCAAATATTCACCCAATTTAAAATACTAAGAGTCACATATATTTATATATGACAATTCTATTATCCCCTTAAGAAATGTTATTTTATTTATTAACTATTCCAGGTAAAGAAGATTTCATTAAAAAAGAATTAGTGATAATGTACGTAGATTTACATTCAAATGTTATTATATCATTATCAATTGATATCATGTTATACAAAGTTCTCATTAAATTGCAATTTCAATTGGAATACTTCATAAAATTTGGAAAAAATTATTTAAGAATAAAATATAGTTTCAAATTCCCTTTTTTATTATAAAATATAAAAAATTTGCTCCAATTGTATAATAAGTAACCCTGCTCTAAAGTATGAGTGAGAATACTTGAAGTAAAAATTAAGACAATTAATTTGTGAATTCTTTTTCTTTTAAAAATCATTTTATATATATATATATATATATATATATATATATATATATATATAATCAGGAAGTATGAGAAGTATCGTCATACAGGATTATACTTCTCCCTCTATGATCGAAGTTAGTTGAGTACATACTCTATTCTATAATAATTTAACATTATATAAATTTCAAAATACATAAATATACAATTAATTATTTTTAAAATAGTCTCAACAAATACTACTATTGTGATGAAAATTGCATTATACCCTAAATAGTATCTCAATCATATAAAATGAAACTAGAAAAACTGCAATATTTCAATTTACGGTCAATTTGATTAGTATTTAGAGTGATCGAGATATTAATTTATTTATAATATTATGTCATTCAACTAGAACAAAATACAAATTTTCATGTTTAAATTTTTAATAACTAAAATCACGATTATCATTTCAAAGAACCAAAAAAATAGTTTTTCATCAACTATTTGGGAATAATATTAATTTTTTTTATAATTTAAATTTTTATTAGTACAAAAATAAAATAAATAATATATTAATACACTGAAAATACTAAAAGAATAAAACTATATATCATTCAATTTAAAAAATGAGAAAAATACATGACGATTTATTTTTCAACTGACTTTTTAATTACTATTTAATAATAATTAATTTAAAGCTTAGTGATGCAACAAAATTTTAAAATAAAAAGGCCCTATGTAGAAATAATTTAAATTCTACTTGAATTATTATCTAATCACTGTATAATAAAGCATTAAACTCGACAAGTGTTTCAAAGTGATTGGTATAGTAATACGATTTCAGAAAAATTAAAATGCACATAATGCAAAAGATAAATAAAAATACATGTAATCGTGGTTCTATACGTTATTACACAAAAGCCTATTCTTTTTCTTCTTTCCCTAAAGGCTTAGAAAGTGTGTAATTAACAATAGACCAAGAAATATTAAAAGGATGAAAATAAGAAGAATTGAAAGAAAAAAAAGCAATAATTGGGCCCGTGCATCGCACGGGTACATCATCTAGTATATATATATATATATATGTGCGCGTATGCATTTTCTCATCGAGGTCCTCGGTCTAAACAGACAAAAACTTTACAAGTACTATAAGCAGTTGGAAATTTAAGGTCTTTGACCGGACTTGGTAAATAGTACTCCAACGTTTTCTTTTGCAATATGCCAAGGGGTGATTAATTAAAAGAACCATGTCTTTCTTTGGTCTAAAAATGGACTTTGAAGGGAAGAATCCAGATGGAATTGCATTGACAAGTCAACTATATATATATTAGTGTTTGTAATAACTTATTAATAGTATTTTCTTTAGTGTAAGTGCTTATACAAACTAACAATAAAGATTTTTTCACACTATTAGGGCAATCAAAAGTTATTTAGAGGCAATCATTAATTGACTTGATAGTGTTGTATACGGTCAAAATCAGGTGTCCTCGATTTTGTAGACTCGATGGATCATGTCGAGAACAAGTTCAATGTGGACCGGGCTCGAGCCCGATGGCAGAATACAGGACTCGAAGATCGAAGTGCTCGATCAACACCGGGCCCGAATATGACTAACCTCGAGATAATACCGTTATAGTTTTATAACAGAAAGAGCGAGATTCCCGCCGTGGCCCTAAGATCACGGCGTAAATTCCGGAACGAATTTGTACTAGGGGGTTTGACAGTTGTATAAAAAGATTCCCTACTGTAATTAGAAATGTACCTTATTTAGGATTCCCCCACTATATAAAGGGGATATCAATCATTTGTAACAGACCAATCATTGAGAAGAGAATATACATATTTCACTTTCTTGCTTACTGTTCATCTAACTTGCCTTATTATTTTATTGTTTTTATCGGCCTACCTCGAGGTCGCCATTGTTCAAGGTCGAGGTCTGTTTATACGTTGGTTTGACTTACTTTACTCTTTAATTTATACATTAGATTCCTTGTTTATCAATTAGTATCGAGTTAAATCATGTATCTTTAAAATCACAATACAAGTTTAATTGTTACTCGGATTTTAGGGTAAACAAGTGTAACAATTATTTATACTGTAAATTAAAGTCTATTATCATTTTATTCTAATAAATGAGGGGACTATCTATATACGGTGGAAATCGGGGCTACCCGATTTCGTTCTTCGATGGAAAAGGTGATACCACGTCGAGAGGACAGGACGCCGAGCTCGGGGTCGAGGCTCCTTTCCAATATCGAGGTCGAGGTCGATATCATTTGACGAGGTCGGAAGAATGCCTACTTCGAGATAATTCCGTTATGATTTAGTAACAAAAAGAGCGAGATACCCGCAATGGCCGAAGATCACGGCGTAAATTTCGGAACGGATTGGTCCTTGGCGGTTAGACAGCTGTCCAATATGATTTCCTATTGTAATTAGAAGTGTATCTTATTCTCCCCTATTATATTAAAGGGGAGCCCATTCATTTGTAACGCACGGTTCATTGACAAGAGAATATACATTCATCACTTTCTTGCATACTGTTCATCGGTTTCTTGCATACTATTCATCAGAGTTGCCTTATAATTTGCTATTCTTACTAACCCACCTCGAGACTGTCAAAGGTCGAGGTCGAGATTTAGCTTGTACACTGGTTTGACTTATTTCATTCTCTAATTTATCTATTTAATTCCTTGTTTATCTATTGGTATTGGATTAAATCACATATCCTTAGGGTAAACAATAACCACGATATAAATTTAATTGTTACTCGGATTCTGGGGTAAACAATAGGTAGATAATTGAGCAATATGAGAATTAACGTTAAAAAGCATGAACTAGTGACATATATATATATATATATGTATATAGATGTATTCACTTCTCTGGATGCCAAGATAGTATGAAATCTGCATCATGCTTGATGCTACATTGAACAGTTTACTCTTGAATGAGGCAAATATAAATAGTTTTAGTGTGTAACACCCCGACCGTACGTACTCGAGAAGAAAGGTTAAGCCGATCAATAATGTCAATTGAAAGGCACAAAATGCTATGAAAGTGTTTTGGAAATACAATATAAGAACCATCGGTAATCATTTTACTCCAAATCTTAATAGACTTGAACATATACCAAAGTGCAGCTTCACAGGACTATCCAACTCAAATCGTCAATCAAGTGATCAAGTCTTGAATTATAGTTGTAGTAGCAAATCCTACAGAAAAGGAAATCCTCTCTTTTAGACGTATATCAACCACCAGCCCCAATTCTAATGAAATAATTTATACAATATGCATTTTTCCGAACCTGTTTTGTTAGTGTGGTGGACAGTCCCTGCCAATTGATTGTCGGACACATTCCTGTTCAATGAATGACATTGAAAAACATATGTTCCTTTTCTCCAATTTGGAAACTACTAATAATGAATATATATAACAAATATGCAACTTACAGTAGCTGCAAATTTCCCCAGTAGACGAGCTTCAAGACTGAGATTGGAATGGTCCCTAATAATTTATTACCATCCAATCTCCTGCAAAGGAAAAAAAGTCATTATTACAGCACATTACGGTCATTTTATTAGTTAAGCCTTACTCCCCCTGTTTCTATGCTATTTTTTTCTCTTACAAAAAAAAAAAAAAAAAAAACGTAATTTTTATTTGGTAAGTAAATATACTTA